AATGACAGTCCGAAGATTGAGAATTTTGGCCGATCATTGGTATTGTCGGACACCACGCTTTGAGAGCTTATAACTTTCTATGCACTCTTGCTAGAGCTACAAGTTTTGTCACGCAAATAAAGGATAACTATTGCTATAATACTTTGCAGTTTCATGAGATGGCAATGTATAGTTTTCCTAAAACAAGTGTCCGAAAATTGATGGTGTACGATCATTGATAATGTACTCTAGTCTAGAGTGTGAATGGAGGAATTGCAAAAATTGCAAGGAGATAATTTTCCACTTGTATTGAACTTACTGATTAGATTTTTTTCGAATGTTTCTCAAAAAATTTGTCAAAAGTGAGTAGACTATATTGAGAAGAGAATTCTCCATTTTATTACATTTTCTGATAAAACTAGATAAAGTTACTCTTGGCATGACAAGTTGGCAATAGTTGTTAGCTACTCATATACAAGTTATATACGTGCAAATTTTAAACAATAGCATCATTATTGTCTATTGCATTTCACTAAAGGCTGCTCAAGACTCTATCAAGCTAAATGATGGCTGCCTTTCAGCGTATGATTCTTGCTGCAGCTGCAATTTTAATGATTACTGCAGTCCTTGTTGAAAGTGGTGGACTTCACTGCTATTCTGATACAGCTTGTACAAATGAAACAGGACATTTTCCATTGGTGAGTATCCATTTATAAATTTAAATAATGAATTCCTTTGTTAATATATAGGGAGGAGACTCTCAACAATGCTGTCGATTGGATAATGTAAAGGCTTACAGGTATTATGGTCAGTTTGGAAGCCCTGGACCTTGCAATCAATGTAAATAATTCAGAAAAGGATTAAATGCAGCAAAAACTCCTCTAATTAGTAATTATATTGCTACTAACACAAAATTATAAACTGTAAATGTAATATACTAGTTTAACACAGCTTTACTGTGCTTCCTGTACTGTTTAGGTATCGTTTAGGTTTTATTATAGACCTAATGATATAGATTAAGTATTAGACTTAAGGAAAAAAATTATATTATAAACTAATGTGAACTTGAATGTGTGTGTATTACAGCACTGTAAAAAAGAAAAACTGAAGGAAGTGAGATACTAAAAGAATTACAATACAGAGAATTATGCATGTATTATAGCTATGATTAGTTTATATGTTCAAGGAGAGGTTCACGAGCCTGAGAATAATCACCTGTATCAAGAAAGTCACTATCATATTCGGCTTCCCTGGAATGCTTTACTTTACCAATACTTAAGATAACTTGGCAGGTTTTATGATATAATAAGGTGATGTTATTCAGTTTGTTTGTTGCCTTGAGGATATGATAAACAATAATGAAGAAGAGAACAACAATCACAGGGTAATTTGCCACTGAAAAAAATATTGATAATTTTTGTGGAGCTTCACTTAAAAGTAAGAACACTGATGACAAGAATAATACATTGAGAT